ATATATATATATATATACTGATCAGTTCTCATTGATGGCTACGGTATTACCAGAATTTCGCCGGCTTCATTTTTATGAGACTGGCCGAGGGCTCCTTATTTATCTACACCGTGCTACCACAGGGTAGGGTGGGAGTTTTCAATAATTTCTAATGGAAGATGTTTGCTGTTGACTCTTGACAGGGTGTTCTATGGTTTATTCCATTCTCATTAACACTGGCCGAGGGCTCCTTATTTATCTACACCGTGCTACCAAAAAACAGGGTGGGAGTTTTCAATAATTTCTAATGGAAGATGTTTGCTGTTGACTCTTGACAGGGTGTTCTATGGTTTATTCCATTTTAAACTCATTAACACTCCATTTTTTGACAGACTTACCTTCGGTCTACCATGGCCGGGCTAGTCGCGATTCAGAAGGTCGATTTTTTGATGACTTCTACCGGTGAGCGACTATTGCGGTACTTCTCTACATTTTCGTTCACCAGCTCGTTTGCCTCAGTCTTTCCGCCAGCTTTTCTCTACGCTAACACCTTTATCTGTAAAGATTCCTGAAAACATATGCATATATGTATGTATATTAGATTATACTACATTATACTATATATTATACTATATTATGCTATATTATAACGGAATTGCCTCTCATCGTTTTTCATTTTTTTCGTTGGGGGCGAAGTGGCTCAGTGGTAACAGTGCGAATTTATTGGCCAAAATGTCCGTGATTCGAACTCGACCTCTGCCTCTCGACTTCCCCTGTCTAGGCTTAGGCAACCTGGCAGTATTCCAGCCCTTGTGCTTTCTTTGGGTGGCGTGGCAGCTAGGCACCGAGAGGGTGTTACAGCTGAATGTTCTTTGTTGGCTACGATGATTCTGCATGCGGTATGGATCTTTTTTAGTCGGCTAGAGCTTCAGTGACATTTGCGAATCTTGCTGTTTCCACAAATTCCCCGTAAGAGAGTGCTCCAATAGTTCGCCGGCGTATTGGGAAGAGTGTTTTACCATTACGTGTCTTTCATCAAATTTCGTCCGGTGTCTCCACGTGGATGCCTTTCGGATTGACTCAACTCTGCCTCCGAGTGTAGTCTGTCGCTTCAGATTCCGTCCGTTTTAATTATTATGGAGTTGTGTTGAAGTAGGATTTCCACGCCTTCGTTGCATCGTTGCTTATACGTTGTTTTTTGTGGTTGTTGACAGTAGGATCAGTTATGTTTCCATGAATCTTAGGGTCTCTAACACTAAGCGCTTACGGCTTACTGCCGTTATTGTGGTCGAATGTTATCCGCTACGCTTTTCATTTGGAATGAGACTTGTCTGATGAATACAGAAAGATCTACCGCGTTTTTTAAAGAGTTGGCTGAAACACGAGTCGGTCACTAATAAAGTGACAGTATTGTGACTGTAAATAACAGTGACTACCCGGTTCAGCCCATGAATTTGTCAGAAAATCTGACTACCTGGTAGCAGTCAAGTTGACATATTCCCGACTATTCACGATCTGAAAGTGTCAGTTGTCTTGGCATCGTATCTTCACTTTCTGAAAGCTGAACCAGTAAGTCTTTTTAGAACTGGTGACCATTTGCAACTAATTGTTCTTACTGTTGTTTTCAGTTCATCGGTAGTTTGTTACATTTGGAATGGATGTATTTTATTAACTTTTATACTGGACTTTGGCAGTTGCTTGACGCCATTTCCATCACTTGGTAATAACGTTACCCAACAACTTGGCTCTCTTTGTATACTTGTGTTTGCATTGGTGTACATCCCTTCGTGGATGGACTCCATTATTTTCCTGATAGGATGGTAGTGACTTTGATTTTCCTCTGTCCCACTTTCCTCTTAGTGTATTGATTCAAAATGAGCGCCTCAGTTGGGATGAATGGAAGCGAGTGCTGACGCAGTTGAAGCTGGAGTTCAAGATGTTTCAACAAGAACTTACCGCCTACCTCCAATCTCGCTATCCAATGCATGATGGATGTATCGCTTCATCTGTTCATGTATCCTCGGCATTTGATGGGAATTTCATGGAGACTTTAAACATGTCACTGAACCGTACGTACCCTGTATGGTCTTTTTCTTTTGACAATTTTGGCAGCTGAAACCATGACACAACTATTCAGTTTTATAGACATTAAGCAGCCTGTAACACAGACAGGCTCACCATGGTTCCTTTTTATTGAGCATATAGCTATCAATTGTATTATAGTGTGAACACTAGTTTAACATTCCCAAGCTATACAGGTAACCCTTTCATTCCACGTCGCCAATATAATGATAGGTGAAGGAACCCAGCTTCCGAGACTGATTTATGTTGCTTCCGACAGGCTGGTGTACAGTGCACTGAGCCTCCTTCAGGACCTTTGCAATGCCACGTAACATACCACCTTATCTCGACAAAAGCGACAACGTCTTATGCAACAATGGGAGCAGTCGGTATCAAATGTGCTTCGTCATACGTTTTAATTAACTGTATGCCCAGAAGCCAATCCGTACATCATCGATAGTCTGTGGTCCCATGATTTTGATTGCGATTTGCCTATGGCTGTTTGATCAAAGGTGGCACCGTGGTAGCTGCTCTTATTTATAATTCAATAGGATGCCAACTCTAGCACACAATCCTTGGATCAGATGTAAAACACACTACCTTAAACTAGGGGCCGTTTATGCTCGATTTCTAAGGTTTCAGACCTGTATGTGTGCGTATGTGCACATCCGATGGCTGACGGCATGACCTGAGTCTTCTAACCAACTTGCTCCAGCCGTGTGTGATGCTGTCACGGACAACGAGTAGCCGGTCACATAAAATTTCCCTCCTTATTCTTCCGTTTCCAAAATTTCACTAGATTGTTTTCTCTGGAAGAGTTTATTTTCTTCGTTTCATAGTTTATGCTGGATACAACGTGGATCGCAATTTCGACCGGACCGGCAAATCGTCTATTGTTATCAGTCCCGGGAATGGAAGCCATCGAGTTAATAGCACCTTACTGTTGATAACCAAGCAACGCATTATGGATCTCGGTCAGTTTTTCGCTTTGACTTTTGTAGCATATATATATATATATATATATATGTATATATGGTAATACTCCACATTTAGGCATGTTATTGAAGCCTCTATTGGTTTATTACTGAAATTTTTATGGGGATCATGGATATCTTGCCGATTCAGATGTCGAGCATAAAATGCACTCGCCCGGCGCCGCATTACCGCTTTCATGGAAAAATCATATTGCCAGGCTTTGGAATGGTTTTCCTCATCGCCATCTGTGATTTATTTCTGTCCGTGAACTTGTAGCTGGGAGAACTGAACCGAACTGCAATGTCCTTTTACGTGTGCCCATATGTTTATAGACCAAAATTAACAAATAAGCTTTTGTCTCTGAGGTTTTTTTGAGCCTGACCTTTGTGTGAGAACACCACGCTACTCTAAACTACACTGTTCGCCGCAAAGTGCACTTAAATTGTTCACGATTAGTATGCACATGAAAGGGATTTAGACATAACTACCGCCATTTGAACGTACATCTAGCCGGTCATTTGATCCGATTACATTGAAGGTTCGCTACGACTTCACAATAGACAAACTGTACTAGTAAGTAACAGACAGACCTTGAGGCTACCAAGCATGTCCAAAATATTGTCTCAGTCCCATGTACTTTATAGTCGTGCCACCTAACTGCACTTTTTAAATAAATTTCAGCTGGCTATCAAAGGGCGGTCATCTGTATTGTTGAACGTGTATGCTTGATCGGTCGGTCATCTGTGAAACTATTTAATTTGCCGCTAAACCTGGACGATTTTCGTCAAGTCCTCTCCCCGGGCATCATGGATAGTATTTCAACGGCTACGCATGTTTCAGTGAACTAAAGATCAGGAAGGAATGCCTGATTGACTCCGTCTGCAGAATGAATTCTCGATAGCAAAAAGGCAATCATATTGATAGGGATCATCAACTGGACCAGTCAGCATGGATCCGAAGATCGGCGCAAAATGGCTCCTGTATAGAGATCCATTCTGGAATAAGCTTAGGTACGACCAACAGCACTACTAAACGATAAATGAATTCGTTTTGATTTAGACATAAACGATTCGTCAGGTTGGTCGGGTTTAAAGGACAGACGACGGTCGACCAACGAGATCTCTTTCAACTAGCAGACCAGGTTAGTGTTGAATATCTGTTAAAAGTTCTTGATGGTCTTTGTGAACAACTAATTCTTGCGATCGATGGGTTAGGGGGAAGGTTTTTAGTAGTTTGGATCGGGTTTGAGGCTTTATTCTTTTGATTCATGGTACTTCACTGTTACCCAATGAAATACCAGGTACTCGGATAGGGCCATCGCAACTTGAGTTCTGCGTAACTAATCGATTAACGCCCCCGGTCATACTAATCACTCATAGGAATACCACTCTTAAAAGGATACCCATCATTCCAAAAAAAGCATGGTCTTGAAAAAAGTTAATTGGGTAATGAATGATCTCAACCTGGCTCGCATTCCTGGTGCCCATTCAGATACTCTGCATAGAATGTCATGAGCATCATTCGTATCGGCTCGCCACAGTGTCCTGCAACGTCTCCACCAGCGGTCTGGAAGGCCCTCTGATCGACAAAATTTAGAGCACATTGGCATGATAATGTAGGAGAAAGAGAATTCGGGGTTTAAAGCATGCACGCTCAACCGAGAGTCTTCTTTTCGATGCCACCTGTGGGTTTCTCTTTTCTGACAGGTAGGCATGGACTGTCTTTCATTGTCCCAGCCGTTGCGCTTCCTTCGCAGTTATACAGCGAAAGGTTAGCACCATTCCGCTGGTTGAATCGGTTCAAGGATTAAGCGGTTACACACGAAGTTGGGCAAAAATTACTAATACTTCACTTCTCTGCGAGTTTACTTTGTCGTTGACGATGGTCCTCGTGATATCCTCGCCATATTTGAATTCGCTGGTGATTATTAGCTTCCCACTATGCATTCGCTCACCGATGTTATTTTTTTGAGTCTAGCTTTGGTGTAAATAGCTTCATATGAGCTGTTTGTGACATTCAGCAATCTACGGGTGTCCGATGGTTCAACTACTTTCCAATCTTCACTATTAAGCACTCCCCAAACATGCTCTGTCCAACTATCCTCAATGTTGTTTATCCTCATGACTTTGCACTCGAGATTTTTCATGTTTGCTCATCGGTCCGCCGTATGTACTCTGCCAACAGGTGTTGGAGTTGATCTTATCTGTCTCGGGCAGCAGCCGTTGCATGCGGTGCCGTTACTTGAAGTAAGTTTTTTCTGCTTCGTTATGGTTCGCAACCACTAGTTCGGTAGCAAACGGCCACCGCTTAGTTAGTACTGATCGTAGTTCAATACACAACCTAATTTGGATGAATCCGCTGCAAATCCCGTTCAATTACACTGTTACGTCGGTAGTTTACGAGTAGACTAAAGGAACCAATACTTGTGAGTGCACGAGGAATCATGTCAATGGGGTGCCTTAACGACCCCTCATCGATGTTTTCCTGAACTCGTGGGTTTGATTAGGTTTATGCAGTCTACCAGCGTTGCTTCACCGGTTCCCTGAGGGTTGTTCATGACACCTTTCGTTATATACAGTTATCGTCAATTAGCTCTGGTTCCTTCCGCCACCCGAACCACACAATCCAATGCCTTTTATCACAGTGCTACTCTTGTCTCATCAACAATGGTTCTTGCTTTTTAATGAATTTTCCCCTCTGTGTGTAGCTTACACTGACTTTAATTATACGCTGGCTAAGGTCTCCCCCTCATTAGGCTTACGGATACAAGAGAAGGTAGAAAACCACCATGTAGTCACTCTGTGAAGGCGAAAACTAGATTTCACAGAATCCTAGTGAAAGGAAGAAGGCCTTCGATGCGCAGTTATTTACTCGGAAATGCCAACTGACCGGTTACAGACCATTGAACAGGGAAGCGAAACTCTAATCTGCATCTTAGTTCCAAAAACTGGACACAGATCTTCTCCCGAACGAGTTTTCTTAGAGATTAGTTGCCTGCACTCATTCGTCGGTCAAATCCAAGCAAATGTCACAAAGTGGCCCCACGAATTCCGTTACAAAATTCCCTTTTTCCATCGACGCAAAGCGAAATTCTACAAACAACACATACTACTCGCGTGCCTCCCGACCAGTAGAATCACCGTTACACTAGTAGTACAGATCATCTTTATAAGTCATCCTCAACTCTCCTTATTGGCCCTAGTTATCCTGACATCACCTGTACCAACTTCCTTAAACTAAGGAATTCTTTTGGTTGGAATTTCATTGGGGGAAAATACTTGCTAATCCGGCATCTTTCGCATTTCTTTACAGGTTAGCGATTGGGACACAAATAAGTACATTGTACCATACTGGATAGATTGCAGGTTGGTCTCTGTGCCTCTTTCCTGAACGCAAACTTACTTTCCTCCTAAACAACCAATGGATGTATCCCCAACATTTACAAAACTCANGCTTCTTCCGATCTGGCCACCAAATACGACGCATCAATCTAGGTCAGCCAGTCAACAGAACTCGGGTATGTTTCATTTTGTGTCGATGCAGTTCATCTTTATCCTTGCCTTGGTTGTTAGCTAGGTGGCCAAGCCAAAAGCGTGGTTCTGTTAATCTAGTACCATTATTGATTGAAAACCATATTGCGGACGTAAGACTAAACCTAGTCGATCAGGAAAATCGAAATTGTGGCCTTTTGGATCTCTGTTCCTCCAGGTGCGCTGTTGCAGAAAATTCATTTCTTCAGCCTGCCTCTTGAATGATGTGCTTGTCCGTCTTTCCCTCACTGTAACAAACGCGGCTTCACAGGTCAACGACGGACCTGCAGCAATTCCAACCCACTCGAGAAGTTCTAGATAAATTTCTTGATATTCTTTACATATGGCATCTGTGTGCTAACACTACTTCATGTTACACAAGTAGTGGAAAAATGTGTAAAAGACCTTGGCAAATACACTCATCTGAATACCAATTAGGTTTTCACAGGAGACTCAACTGAATCTCTCGTTTAGGATATTCTTCTAATGCACAAGGGCAGCCTCATGTTTCGGTTTGTACGATATTCGAGATACCGAAGTATATTCTCACAAAGGAAACTGCCCACAAGGTTTGTGAAAGCTCTTCGATAACCCACGACCGTTTTTGCCCTTCTTGGGGCTCTTCAGTTAAGCGCAGTCCCCGAGTTTCCGTCAACCTTATGTTCTACTTGAATCCAAATTGGACAGATTTCGACAAATACACTCATTCGAATATTAACTGGATTTCCACGGTATACTCGTTTATGATATTCTTCAACCTGATGAGCGCCAATCGTGGGTTGTTGAAGAGTTCTCAGCGACCCTGTAAGTGTTTTCCATTATGGAAAGTGTAAAAGACCTGTTGACTTTGTAATAAGCTAATGTTTAAAACTAGCCCTGGCTCTTCAATTTTATTTTTGGTTTAGTCGGTCTGACAGTGTTCCACCCCAGAGCCTCTTTCGAGTGGCATGGCAGCTGTGCTCTGAAAGCGTACTACAGTCGAATGGCTGACATCAAATGCAGCGTTTTTTATCTAGCTTTGAACCTTTTGAGAGAATCGTCTGACTACTAGTGAATGGCCCAACCGTTTCATCTTATTAGCCATCGATCCTCGAGGAGGACTTGATAATAACGTGTTATTTACCTGTACTTCGACTGGACACTGTTTTCATCAGTCAGGCGAAGGCATTCATGGATTTAGATTACTTTTTTCTCCAATCCATTGTTTCAGGTCACTCCGTGCGTCAGTAGTCCTTGTTGTGGACTTGATTTTGCAGCAAACATAGCTAGTGGACAACAGTCACCTGTGCAGTTTCAGTTAAGGTGAGTGATTTAGTGCACTGCAATCCTTTTCCATAGATCTTGACGATAACAATTTCATGTGTTTTCGTTTCCAGTCGGTTGTGTACAATGGTTGCGGAGAAGGCCATAACATGTTCACCGCAATGTCTGACATGATGCGGGATTTCAAATCTTCATGGACTTGATACCGAGGTTCCAGAATTATTCACATCACGATTGTGAATGCAAAAGAGGGGCATAATTTGCTTTTGTGGTTTTGTCCTGTGGATATCCGAGCGGAGTATACTGAACACAGAAAGCCGATCTACATACTTGCTGATCAGCTGTTTCCTTCTTGTTTTCCGCTCGATTATGCTACTTACGTTACTCCACGACTGCAAAGTTGTGCGCACCTAGCGTCGATTGGAGGAAAGAACTTTATTTTTGCAACGTCAGTCTAATGTTTGCAAGTTCGCTCATTCATTTTGAAACTGGGTTTGCTAGAGGATGAATCCCAAAAACAACTGAAATGGTTACGATCAACTGATCCGACATCTCCTCCTAAGTACCCATAGGCAGTCTATAAAATTCGTCCTTGCCATGACCATATATTCGTGGATTTTGCTGACAGTAAGCTGTTGTTGTTGTCTGACACCGACCCTCTAAAAGAGATCGACCGTTGTTCATCGTCCTCGTTCCACGTTATGCACAACAGCACCAAATGCACCCAAACAAAGCATCATAATACAGCTGTCCGTATCCCACTCTGAGTCAGCTATTTGGTGATCAACGCCACTAACGCAGCAGGTATGTTTCACCAAAAAGCGCGTGAAGTTGTGCGACCCCCCCCCAATAGCATACGAACGACCATAAGTATATCGGGTTCACCCAACCGACTCCAATTGTGATTAGCAGAGCAAGTCATTTTTGGCCCAGTTCCTTGTCAGCAAAACTGAATTTTCCTAGTTCAGTATGACTAAATCAGGCAGTGATATCTTCTGTGATCAACGGTTGTTATGTGAAGTGTACTACATAGTACGAAGCTGGTACCATGTATCTTGGAAAAGGGCTGTCATTGTCCCGCATAGTGGTTTTCCTTTTGATGAAACACAGCTCATCTTATCTGTAGCCGCATTTGTAGCTGGTAGGTTAACCGGTGTCCTCTCCATCTTTACGTATTTCTAGATCATGCTCTACCGCAGTCGCTCGCCGGAAACCCCCGGTGTATAAAATTATTTATCCGCAGTCGACCGTCAACCTGATGCCTTCATTAAAGCCACCCCCATCCGAAAACGCACATTTTTTATCAGGGCGTTTCACTTCATCTCCAGAGACTAACGAGTCTAGCAAGTGTCTTCAGTCTTGCGCTGATCAGAACCTATTCCCATCAACAACTGATCATGTCCTTACCGCAATAACCACAGCTTCAGCCGTTGCAAGAGCAGTTCAGAATGCAAATCGACGACCGTCTCGTTGCAGTGAATCTGACTCCAGCTCAGTCGGTGATTTTGACTGGGAGCGTGGCTTAGAGAGCTTGGCACCTGACTCCCGGTGTTCAGCACACAGGGGAAGCCTTTCGGTGGAGAAATCGCTGATCAAATCAAGCACGCAGCCGATGATTGTCAAAGGCCAGAATACTCGTCATCTGTCGGTGGTCGCCTCACTACCTTCAGTGCGCGAACACCAGTCGGAATTAATAAGATCGGGGCAGCTGGATAGGGTCTGTTTTATGCAGGCTGTGCACCGGAATGTAGTCGATTCAGAAGCGCGGAAGAAGAGCCTCAGCACTGATGCTGATGGCAGTGTCTCTGCTTCCAGTAGTGTCGACAGTTTGATTACTCCTGGCAGTGGTGAGTCCTGATATTTTTGTTTTCGTCTTCGTGGCTCTCAGCTTGTCTGCTTTACTGAGACAATCACTTTTTACTTTGTAGCTGAATTCCGTCCCCCTGGAACTACGCGCCATACCCGGTTCTCCAAAACGTATTCCTTGACTGTCCAGCGACCTAGTTCTTACGTAGGATCTTCCTCGGACCAGGCTTCGAAAACACCAGCTCTTCCAGGTTTACATACCCAGCTCACTCCATCGGCTCCATCTTATCGACGAAAGTCAAGCAGTCGGCCAATCCGAACCGGTCTTCGTTGGTCTAACACCTTTGGCAGTGGAGTCCGTGTTAGTTCTACCTTGTTTCCCGTCCCGGTGTCGAACAATCCATTTGAAGCTGCAGGGAATCCATTGAGTCCCACTGGAACTGCAGGAAAACGCCGCTGGGTTCTTGTTCGTCCACCCGGTGTGTTTCCGTATTTTTTCCCCAGAAGTTAGTCAATAGCTGTTGATTGTGATTTCGGGGACTCTGATAAAGTTGTGGACCAGCCAGTGTAATCAAGATCAAAGCCCAGCGTTGCACTTTTAATTCTGTATCGTATCGGTGTGAGGGACGCCTGTGCTGTTAGCTTGATTTTCATCATATTGCTGGACTGTTGGAAGCCGAAATCATTTCTCGAATCGAGAAGGTCGATGATGTAGCAAAAGGTTGTCCTTCTTGATAGAATCATGCCCAATAGGGATAGAATATGACCGAATGCCTTCAGCGGTTCGTCAGTGACAACTCCGAAGCATTTTCCAGGTTTGGTGGAAGCATTGTGTGGTGGCCAGGAACAAGACATTGCAGTCTTATATTTCCGTTTGTGGTGACAGTTGCTTTCCTGAAACTGTAACTGATTCAGGGGAATTTCAGAAGTCGCCATCGAACAGTAAGCGAGGACTCTATCTGGTTCTTTGAAATGTGGGGTCTGGACCATCATTTTATGGGAACCGCTTTTGATACTCACTTTGGGTGTGCGCAAATGAAGCGGTGGACAGAGGGTAGTACAGCCTCCAGGTCAGGTGACCAATAAAAGTTTGGATTTCCGGTTAATTCCAATCGCGGACCGGAGTAAATCCCCCAAAGGTTGACTCTATGAGGCGCTCACGGTCGTGTTCAACATGTTCAAGCTGAGATGAGTCCTATTGGCATCACTGGCTGGCGCACCAACAATCCATCCAAATGCATAACTACGGTTTGATGCGTTACCTGACGCCAATGGGCCTTACTTGTCAGCAAGACTTTGCACTTTGGTTGTTTTCTGTCCATTATGTCTGAAGAGGCTGTAGTGATCTGATTGCGTATGTACTACAGAGATCAATGGACAAATCTTACGCAGTATTCCTTCATTCAGCTAATGCTAATCGTATTCTCTCGCGAACAAGATTTACTGCTGATGGGATTAAACTTTAAGGGTTGATGCCCAGTTTATTTGCATCGATTGTGCTTCGCTTAACTTAACTTAACTAGACTTGACTTGACTTAACTAGACACTTGAACAGTCCCTCAGATGATTTGCTTTGTTCTGCTGTGAATAGTTTCCCTGTGTTAATTAAGTCAAATGAATGTCACTATATCCATCTTAGGTTGTTTTAACTGCAGTAGATGTGTCACTTCTGAACAATGCTTTTTTCGTCTCTTTTTTCGCAGACGAGTTCGGAAACCCCATACCACCACACCACATACATCTTTCTGTACGATCATGGGACTTTCCAAATCCGAGAGAAGCCATCGAAAGCTGTTCACAGGTGCGGTTGATGCTACCTTTTTCCTTGAATGCATACAATCATCGCGTTTTTATGCTAGTTTCGTTGTATTTCATCTTGGGTACTACGGTTTCCCCCCTCTGCCCCCTAAAATTGTAGCATCGGTGAGCTGGTATCTTCTGGAAAGACGGATGGACTGAAAATGGTCTTCTTACCCGGATGCTCTCTTTTGAAGTATAAATTGTGCTCACTTTACTGCATTCATTCCGAAATCAGTAGTCTGTTTTACTTGAGCCAGTGATTTTGTATGCTGTATCTGTTCTGCTGTTGGTGCACTATTCTCTCTCCTACAGTCGCTCAACTCGACTCAAAGTAGCTTCGTTTTCATAGATCGAAGTTTCTGTAAGCGACGTAATTCATCCAAAAACTATTGTCACAGGTACAGAGTTGTAGCTTTCTCTTGGGTGATGGAGTCGTCCCTTTTTGGAGGGTTTGCCGTACATTCTACTTGAAGTAGCGCACTGTCAGGAAGGTCAGATTCCTGTAAATAGCCCCAGGATACCCGGAACCCACTGAGACCCTAAAACTTCACTAAATCTGAATAGGGAAGCCGGCAACTATCCAGGCTACTCAATCACCCAATCAATTCAGCAGAAGTGGAGGAGTGTACAGACACGCCATAGAAGCGCGAACGACTATGATGTGTTCAAGCATTTCCTAGAAGCACCTTCGATGTTTACTAAATGCTCATTAGACATCCTGGATCGATGTCAAATGGTGCCCCATAAATAGCGCGGGTCCGTTGTCATTTTTGCACTCGCTCGTTGCAATAAAGCTGCTGTGTTCCTTGTTCGTGAGTCTTTTTCTCCGGCACTTAGGCACTGGCTTGGGGACAGCAGTCAGATATAACATAAACAAACTCCTTATAGACATGGTATCATTCGGTGGTCGTCAGTATTGTCTAAAGAACCCAGAGTACCTACGTGCCTATGTGCGGAAGCATTTTTGTCCTTTTTTAGACAATTCCCTACCAGGACTAGTAGCTGTAGGTGGATAATTCCTTTGACGAAAACGGTAAGCGAGGTGTACGACTGGTGCTTTGGACTCGAGGAGCCCAGTTGCCACCCGGTATCCTTATCGCATCTGGCAACCTTCACTGTGGTTTCTAGACAGCTCACCTGCAGCATATTCACTGCTTATGGGCGGCAGACTAAGGAGTATACAGGACCCCGCCACTCTCAGTAGCTGCCTACTGTGTAGGAAGCAAGAAAAATAATATGTAGGCGCTTCCCAACAACAAGAGCAATCGATCAACTGCTACATTTTCAGACGAAACTACCCACCTGTTGTGCCTTGTTGAACGGTCTTGCAACTCTGTATCGCTTCTTGGCTTCCCACTCCGGCCACTATACTATAATAAAAGTCACGGTGGCTTCAGACAACCCTTTATGGAGCAGAAGGAAGATTATTACAACCGTATTTTTAGGGTGATCACAGAATGTTCCACAAGGTCGTGCTAGAATCTCTGTGAGGGAGCGAGAAGCGTCAAGCTAAAGATACTCGATCCAGATTGGCTGGCATTATGACCAATCAGGGCATGTCTTCGTTTGGTCCGTAGCCCGCACGTGACACATCCGTCCAATTGATGTGCTGTACGGTTAGTAGGGGTGGCTGGCCCCCGGGCACTATCCTTTGAGCGAGCATGTTCTGGACTGTTCGGGAAGGGAAACATTGAATGAGGTGTACTGGCTCTGGATTGCTGAAAGTTCGTGCTTGGGGTGCGTCTGACTGTCTTGCTTTGAGTTTACGTCAGAGTGGTTTCAAGACTCAATTACGCACACTGAGGCCCCTGTTTGATGTGGTTACTCTTCCCCTCAATTAGCGGTAAGGATCATCCCCGGTGAGTTCACGGTTGTTTAATATGTTTCTGGAAAAGAAAATCATCCGGAGAGACCACAAAGGCACTCTCTGTCAGCTTCATTTGAATATGTATCCTCCCCTCAAAGAGAACGTACATCCTAGGGCATTCTAGGTATGCCCCTGCTCCGTAGTAGGTTCCTGTGACTGTTTGACATGTATGCGCTACGGATTAGCATATCAACAATATGTGGCCCACGGGCTTGTTTTGAATGACACAAGTGGCTTGTCTGAAGCCGGATCACTTCTTGGTTTGAGTCAGCTGTTCTGAAAGAAACCCAAAGAAACAACCGGTGGTCAGCCACATTGAGACCCTTTGCAGGTCACAGATCAGTGGCCCAGTTTTTTGCCGCCATTCATAATTTATTTATCTTTACTTATTGCGGACAATAATACTGACATGTCGTTCGTGTATTTTCACCCCTCTATTAGGTTTGGGCTACCTATTTCAACTTCTTACGTGAGCGTTTGGGGCATTCTGCACCGGGAGGTCCCCTACCTTCGATGGACCACATGGACTCTCGCACCATAGCCGCTCGTTCTTCGGACCATACTGGAAGGTCTTTGAAGTTGCGGTAAGATGTTAATTGTGGTGTTCATCTCGTTTATTGGCGGCATACCCGTGCGCTGTAACTGGCACTAACCAGATATCGTCGCCAATTGACACGAACTTCATGGTGGTTTGTAAGATAACTCGCCAGAATACTGCAGAAATCAACCAATTCTAGTCGAATTTTGTCGGAGTTCATTTCGGATAAACAGTTACGCTTGGTATCACTGGGTCCGTCGTGGTATAACAAGCAGTGTGTATTGGGAGATCTAGACCGGGATAATGCGTGTAAAACGAAAACTGTTACAGGTGTACATTCAAACCTCGCTGTGCCAACATCACCTGTCCTAAAAGGAATTCGTTAACTGAGGTTTTCCACCCAACGAATTCAGATTAGTAGCAAGCTGCTATCCTAACCTATTGATAAATTTTCATTATTTCATTATGAATTGCGAGTGAAGCGGTCCAGTTTTCAACACAGAATCTTCAGCACACGTTTTGTAAGCTTATTTAAATAGTTTATCCCTGTGTTCCGGAAATGAAAAATCTGAAATCCCAGTCTTCAAAGAACCTTACCACTTCATCATTCCGCGTTTGGCCGCGAAATTCCTCGACGTTGTCTGCCGTGTTAGTAGGAAAACATTTTATGAGCATACTCACTTCCCACATTCTCAACAACGAATCCCTATGCGTCATTAAGTGGCTGCCGCTTTGAAACATGCTCACAATGCTGCGGTGGAGCCCATCATAGTCGTTTACTGGACCTATTTCGTTTTCCTTCACAGCATCGGAGCAGTAGCATTTTTTGACTGATATAGCATCGTGCATTGAAACCGTCCGGATTCCCATAAGCCAAATAAACCTATTCAGATAACTTTAGAGAGAAGGAAATACTCTATTGGCGTTTGGTGGGGAGGTCATTACGTTATAGTCATGGGGTTGAGGTTAGACCGTCATATTCAACCGCGACCTTTTCGGTTTAGACAGCACTGATATGTACCGCGTATGGAGTCTAGGGCCGATTGTTCGGATACCGAGTACTGAAGCGATAACTGTATGTCGGTGAGGGGGATAAGCGGTGCCATGAGGAAACTTAGGCCTTTAGGCCACTGTGTCATACTGAATGCCACTATAGTCAGTGTTCGCCTACTGTTTGCAACCGTTCTTTTTTTCTGGCGAGGTGGGGAATACTCTTTTTATTCAGCCATGTAAATGCTTCATAAGCTCATGAGCCCGCCCATCTTCATTTCCGTTCTCTACCCATTTTGATTTGTTCCCTTCTGCTCTGTTTATTTTCCCTGTGGTCGGATCCTGTTTATAGAACGCAAAACAGCTGAGTATGTTGGGATATGGTATGGAGCGACTTCGGTTGGACGCTGTGTTTCAAGGCATATTGGGGGACTCTGCGAATATAAGACCGTGGGGGAAAATTAATTACGACCTCGGATGTGGTTTTCAAATGCACTTGACCATAACCTAGAATCGAAATGAGTGGAGTCAGGCTGAAAATCCGGAAGCAGAGCGCAGCTGTAGGTCTGACCTGTTTATCGGAACTGCTGCAGGATTGCTTAGCATTGTGACAACTAGGGCTAATACACTGTTTTTAGAATCGACATAGATCTAGGCTGTCATCAACCTCTGCATTTTGAGGATTTGAGAGCGGGCTAAAACAGCTACCGCGCTCTACGTAGCTCTTACCTTGGAAGTGTGTCGGAATATTGATTGCCCGGATGCGTTCGCTGGTAGTGGACCAACTGGTTGTTGATCTTTGGCCCACCTTAACAGTTAACTTTCGTCGTCTATTGAGGAGATTTCATCTGTGCGTGCGGATGATGATTTCTCCTTGGTTGGTCATGAAACTTTTGCAAGCCAGTTGCAATGCTTGGTGAACATATCAACTACCACCTGGCCAACCACTAGTCCTTACCTTCCCACAGTCTATGCTACCTAAGCAAGATCAGCAATCATTTATGTTGGCAGGCTACTCCTAACACATAATACACTGGAGTGGTCAAACAAATCTATCACGCTGTGGTTCCGATCATGTTGTCACCATGAAATGCAATATCTTTATGAGCTTGTTTGTCCTACGTACAGGCAAAGGGGTTACCGGGTTCATCTGTGAGTTGGAGGGTGCGATTTTGGTACAGCCCTGTAGAGACCGACGTTCCTCGAGAACTGAATTCTATGAAGAACTAAGTCCGTAAAACAGTAGTAATTGCACTGTTCGGATGACGTTCACATCATCGGCACCCTAGGTGTCAAGCTTGTCCAGACATTGGGTTTCGTTCACCTACTCGTCGAACATCAGTAGTTCATGCTTGTTGACTTTCGATCCCATTACGGCATCTAAGCGATTATACTGCATTTGTGTGCTGCCACTTTTGCTACTCTATGCTACTTTGCTGTATTTAAAGGGCTTATACATGATGTATCGATGGCACCAGTCAGCCTGAAATCTTGGTATATCACGACCCAACGGATAGCAGTGGAGTTGCAAATGTGGTTTTATTGTCACATTACTTTGGCAGTCTGCCCCTTTTTAAAGATGTTGGAATAAATTCATTGTAGCTTGTTGGTTTTCTTGAATTGACTTATGTAATCTTTTCAAGTACAGCATATCGGCAACCGTTCCTATCTCATGGGGTTTGCAACGACTTAGCAATAGGGTAGTAACATTGTAGTGTATATCGGCTGTTAGTCAGATCGCAGTTGATTCTTTCGCCGCGCTTAGCAACTGGCTTACATACTTTTCGCCGCCATGCGAGGAGATATCGTGAACGCATGCTGGCGATGTCAAGTAACCCATTATATTTATCGATATTTAGACACAATGTAGTTCTTCACTTCAATCACCGTGTAGGTCTGCCGGTTCAGTGTCTCTTTAGAAGGAATTCTACAATGTTGCGCTTTTTCTCCTATATGTTTGGCTTTTCACAGACTGTATTAACTTCCTTTTCACTCTAAATGGCTTGCCCAACGTGGATTAGAAACTCCGTTCGAAGTGTCCCAAATCTGAGATCTATCGATCCTTCCACGTTGTCTCACCTAGGGTCTTCACCTTTCTTCGCATTGTTATTGTTAATACTGAAGCGTTAGTGTACGCATCGTCATAGCTGACGTACCACCACCTATAGGAAAACAGAATGGTAGGAAGTGAATGGTAGTGGGGCTGGGATCGGACTGCTCTCACCCTTTAATTCCAGCTCAGTCAGGTTTAGTTCCTCCAGCTGCAGAATCAGCCTATCCTATGTAGCTTGTTGTTCTTACTTGTCATCTTTGTTCTTCGCGTTGCTCCGCACATTTTGTTTCCAGTGCCATCTTCTATTGAAGCATTTTGTTTTCTCATAATCATTTAGAGTTAATTTATCAATTACTTTCACTTCAGTCAACTACCTTCGTTTGTTTATGGTTTTAATTTTCGCTACTCTTTTGTTTTTCCCTATGAAACTTACTGTTATCCCTGTTTTTGGATTTGGGGATGTGTTTTTGAGAGTTGGCGGAGCACCTTTTCGGGTTGTGTATGCTCATCGTATGCACACTCAGAGTGGATTTCTTTTGTGTTTTGTGCGGTTGATCGCATTTTGTCCTCGTTGAATTAGTATGATATACGTCGTTTATTTCGTTTTATACCTTCCCCTTCCAACAATTGATAGTTCGGGTACTTCCTTGAAGTATTCGGTCAGTCAAAAGGAGGAAACGTGGTTAAAGGGGCAATCTTTACTTGATGAAACTTCGTCTTTCGGTCCGAATCAGTGGAAGTCACTCTTTAATCCGATTCAACAATGTTCTGTTCAGAACGGTACGTATTCATTCTTGTGTTATTTTCTCACTGAACAAACCATGTGAGTGTGAAAATGCGTTTCTTTCGACGTTAGAAATACTTGTTTCAAAACAGTGAGTTCGATCGATCCGTCTAGCCAAGATGGCAATTAGACTCAATGCTGGTTGCCTGAATTTCACCTCACCCAAAATCGCCTGTGTTGTGAACCTCTGACCTGAGCAAGATAGCCCCCTCTACTCATGCGTGTTCATCACAAGCGTACATCGTATCACCGGCCCTATTGGGACAGATGTTCGGGTAAGATAAATTCCAACTCATCTATACTTCTTGTCCTGTTAGGGGGAGGGGGGAGATTTAGCAGCCCATGTAGTAAACTGATGTGTCATTGTCCATGTCATCGTGATTTGAAAATTAGACGGTCGCTGCTAGGTTCCAAAGGGTGACTTCAAGTTGTCAATCCGTCGGCGTGTTGGAAGATTCTGATTCACAATACACCACATCTCATTTTGTCTCTTTTTTCCGATCACCGGCAGATGTGAAACACGGAGCCCTGTTTCTAGTAAGACACTTCCAGAACATCTGATTCTCACTCTGTTATCTTTGGGTAGTTTAGATTTTGCAATATTTGCCGTAATTACCGAAAATTAGTTATTCTGAATATGAGCTTTTTTCTGTTTACATTACTGTGTGATGTGATTAAGCCGCCTGGCCAAATAGGAGCTGATTGGGAGTGTGACAGTTAATAAGCCACCATACAGTTCTCAAACTAGATAGCTTACTTAGATTTTATTCAGTAACTGTTTATTGCCACTTATTAATGGAGTGTTGGTAAAGCTTCCAGCCTGTCTGACTGTCACTATTTCGAGGCATCACGATCTTTCATTGCTGCAACGTTTTTCTCAGAAAAGTCCCATCTGTCATACGATTTGGTTCAGGTCAACACCAACAATTTTAGGAGACATATAGTAAACAACTGGTGAGGTTATGGAGGATATATCCAATCGTTTATTCGATCACGTGGTTAAGCCGGATGAACGTCAACTAGAGATATCGTGCGTCTACCCATGCTTTTCCTCCTTGTGTTGTGTGTACACCCTACTGCAGTCGGATGCCATGGACTTAGCACTTTGAAGCCGTTGTCTCTGTGTTAACCTATTCAAATCCAACGGTCATGGAGTGGCTGTCTGCATTTAACAAGTCCATTAACGCTGCCTAACATCTGTTAAGACCCCAGGAGAGGGACGGGGCAGGGCGTCGCTTTTGCCTAGAACACATCGAGGATTATCGGCTTTAGCCGACTGTTTTAAATTCGTTTTGGGATTTGTCGATTAGATTTGAACGATTTATAAGTCTGTCTACATCTGACGAAAAGATTTTATGTCCGTCTTCAGACATCCTTTTTTCGAAGATAGGGGATGTTGGGTAGCAATCGGTTAAATGCTTTTAACATCGTCTGTGCTACAGTGATATCCACAAACCACTATGAACAACAGTCCTAAAATGGGTCAATAATGTTCACCTTGAACCGGGGTCGAAAACAGATGCGTTGACCGTCATTTGGAGCGGTAATCGTACACAGTGAGTTAGCCACCTTGGTTTTCACGGGAGACTCAATTGAATCTCTCGTTTATGATGTTCTCCAGCTGAATGTGCTGCACACAGGCCGCCTCATGATTCAGTTGGCACGATATTCGAGATATCGAAGTATATTTTCATAAAGGAAACTACTCACAAGGTTGCTGAAAACTCTTTGACAGCCCACGACCGGTTTCGCCCTTCTTGGGGCTCATCAGGTAGGCGCAGTCCCCGAGTTTCCGTCAACCTGATGATCTACTTGAACCCGAATTGCACTGTTTTCGAGGACTATACTCATTTGCAAATCGATTTGGTTTTCACGGGAGACTCAATCGAATCTCTCGCTTATGATGTTCTCCAGCTGAATGTGCTGCACACAGGCCGCCCCAGGATTCAGTTGGCACGGGTTCAAGTAGATCATAAGGTTGACGGAAACTCGGGGACTGCGCCTACCTGATGAGCCCCAAGAAGGGCGAAACCGGTCGTGGGCTGTCAGAGTTTTCAGCAACCTTGTGAGTAGTTTCCTTTATGAGTTAGCCACCGTTTCAGGACTTGCCAGAGTTCCGTTAATGCCGATGCGGTTTCCAGTAATCTTAGTCACCCTTACTTGGTGTGAATTCGAGAGTATAGGACCAGAGGTTAAACAGGAGCGCGAAGTTCTCTAACCATCATATTGTCCAGCTGATGGTCTATGATTTTCGAATCATGTGAAGACAAGTAGGCATTCCAAAGTGCATGGAGGGTTAAGGCCGAGTCATTTACCGACCCGAACGGAAACGACCTAACAAAGAAACTCAAAGGTGTCCGCCTCAGGTAGTCTGAGAATCTGCGTAACTAGCGAACAGAATCCAGCTCTAGTCCCTATGGCGTTTCGTTGTCAGTCACGGTTTAGCTAGTTTTAGTTCACGTGATAGTGGTTATGGTCAGTCATTTCTAGGAACACCGCAGGTCTAGCATCTTACAAGACGCTCAAAATCTCTATCAAACGTCCAGCTGAAGACAGCTAACCTTTGGAACAAATGACTTCCGATTCCAGTGGACAAGTGTCATGCGTTGTTAAGAACTCAACTCAGATCACACGCGTATGGTGTTCCATGTCTAGCTGTGGTTTGGTCTGGCATGATTTGTATGGCGATGGTCACGGAAATAGCGGTTGTCTGTTATCCCTGGAGAACTAAGGCAGGTTTTGTGAACTTGCTTTATCCACCGGTAGACCGCTGCTTTTTGACGTCAATTGGTTCGAGACCAAAGCAAACACGACCAAAATAAATGAAAATTCTGCCACCCGACTCAACAGCTCTAGAAATTTCTACATTCTCTGAATATCAGCTCTCTGGCTCGAAAGAGTCGACTGATGAATTAACAGCCAGCTCGTACCATCTTTCTGCACACCGTCCTACTTTGATTACCTGCTTCTAATCCATTGTTTTTTACTTTCGAACTCTTGACTTTTGTGTCCAGATTTTGTTCGCATTCAGTCACCCATACGGTGGTTGCTTGTTTTCCTCTGTTCCACAAACATATAACTATCCGTGGGTCTATCATCTCCATCTCATCACAGCACATCTGGTGGTTTTTCAGTATGAGCGTCGCAAGTGACAACTGTGAAAGTATCGAATAGTGCGCTGTACGGTCATTGTTTCGATGGCACAAATGATAGACATAACCACTGTTTTCTAGATGCACAGTTTGGTCCTGGGGCTTCAAGTTTGGATACACGTTTTTGATTCGTAACATGACATTTCAACTCAATCCACGTTTAACCGTTTGATCAACTGAGACTGTATCGGTGAAGTATATATATATATATATATAATATCCCTGACCTAAACCCACACCTTGTTTTGATGCTCACACTTTAATACTGTAGAGATCCTACGACCTACACTGGCTGGGCTTAATCATGTCAGAAAGGCCAACAGCATGCAGTCTGATGAAGGACAGCTAGTCCGCATACCATGAGAAATCGTATTACGACCTTGTCTGAAGGGGGAATGGGTAAAATCAGACTGCTCAATGCGACAGAAGTGTCAGAACAGTAAGTTCCTTCTCCCAAGCGGCCAGCATGTCCATATTTATGGAGTGACTCGATCAGACTGCTCAATGCGACAGAAGTGTCAGAACAGTAAGTTCCTTCTCCCAAGCGGCCAGCATGTCCATATTTATGAAAGGAGTGACTCGGCCATCTTCCTGAGGTAGGATGGGTTAGAAACTTCACCATGATAACCGGTCGAAAATATTTTAAAAAACAAGATTACGGTGCTGCTCGAAAAATAATTTCTGTGTGCAGTGGCGTTAGAAGATATTCCCGTGTTTACTCCATGCACACTCGGGCTAGATCGGTTCCCCTGCCTTGCGGTTCAGTTCTTGACGCGAAAGGTTCTGGTTGGTGTGTCCGCAATAAGCTCTCATCTCCGGGTTCAGCAGTGAAAAACATTCACCTCTTCATACGTGACGTGGACTATAAGGAAAAAAGACATTTTCGACTTAGAACCTGTGATCTAAGGACTCCTGAGTAAGGGCAGAGTAGATGAGCCTCGAAGGTGCACTACTCTTATTGCAAAAAAACTCAAATCCTGCAGGATGCTGGAGTAAGACAACACAAGAAAGCCGACCTGATCACGGTGTCGTATTCGTAGTTGCAGATCACTTGAGTGGGATAATGATGGGTCAACCCAACCGCACTAACTCAAGAGTGATAATCATCTGGTTCTGACTTTTGATGGCACGTTTCACCTGGCCACATCTGCACCTTCAGTGATTCCANATCTGGTTCTGACTTTTGATGGCACGTTTCACCTGGCCACATCTGCACCTTCAAGTGATTCCATCGTTCTGTTGGACGACTTCAATGCTGGGTTCAGCAGGGACTGGGAGACTTTAAAGATACTGAGTTAATTTGGATTCGGATCAGGGAACGATAATAGTAGGAAGCTACTGACGATCGTTGCAGCATTCAAGCTCAGCAAAAAACATAGTCAGTGTGTGGAGGACGTCGTTTGCCACATGGATGCAGTGATGAGCAATATTTTATTGTTATGGAGTTTTACTTTCTTCCGGCACATAGCCCTCTGTTCGCCTGGCTTTTTTTCGCAATCATACACAAAGGGGCAGTTTTCCGCTCGGTGGTTGGTAGCACAAGGTATCAAAATTGTAAGACCGTCATTTTGTCAACTGAATTTCGGGACTGGGTTCCTCCGTTTAGGATGTTTCACTGCTAAGTTAGGGATCGTCTGACGTCTTTTTGAACATCACGAAGCGATAAATGGTTCCACAAAGGTGGGATTGTGTCCCACCAGCTCAGCAGACACAGAGTACTTCACGGATAGTCAGCAGCACGTCTGTGCATTTGTCGACGTGTCTTGCTTTCGCATAACGGCATTTTTGCCTTTCCATCTCACAGACCCTCCTCATTGTTCCGGGGGTCTTTTGGGCCAGTCATGTCAGGTGACTGGTGGTTCCGCCTTGAAATGTCTCATTGACACTGTTCGCAATGCTCGCAATTCTACCAGTCATCCGCCACTCTTTCTCCCGTCCGAGGATCGAGCTCAGTCACACACTCGTGGGGGTAAGTATCATTGGTATGTTTCTCTTACTTGTTGTATCTTTGTTTAGGAGCTTAGGCGCCATCGAGCATACTTTTCTTGCGTTTATATGACCAAAAATGTGCCACATTGGCGATACTGAATCATGTTCATTTGGAATACCGGTCCTTTAAACGTGTACTCGTGATGCGGTGGTCACGACCTATGTACGCCAATTCTGTGGGTGTTTGTAGGGGCATCTCATTCCGATATTTGATCCGGAAGTTCTCTTGCAGGTAATTTTTAAAAAAAACGACCGGTTTTGGAATCAAGAAGCGATAGTCTTGGATGCAGTTTTAAGTAATTTGACTCGATAATGGGTTTCACTTCCAAACAGTTGATAACTAAAATTCCGTGTAGAAACGAGTTAAAAGAAGCTGCACAAACTCTGTTTTAATGGGGAATCAAGTTTTTTTGAGAACTTCGATAGCGCGACTCGTGTTTGTCGGTGTACTATAATATTTTCCTTTATGTAGCATATCATAATTTCGGTTACTTGTACTATCTGTATCGTACACCTATTTTGTCCCACTGGCCTACTGATGGCCATTAAGTTGATGCGGTCGATTTTGGGCATGCCAACATAGTGATGAGGAATCCTTTTCAAGGCAATCCATCGGCTGCGCTATTCTTCTGGTCATTCGCCACACGTAGTTGCTGTTTGCCGCTGTGATTTCTGGATGCAGTATTCGGCGTACTTATACGGTTGTCATACCCACACGTTGATGTTGTGCGTTACCTGGGTCAAAGCATCAAGACCACGGTAGTCAAATCAACTGACTACGTTATGGTTGTGCCTTGTTTACATTGAGACTTTAGTGCTGTTAGTTGGGGTTGTAGATCGAGGGGCAAAACGTTATATCAGGAGTTGCACTCTAAAAATACGCTGAAAGCACTTAGACCACGGAAGGTGATGGTATTTCTATAACTGGAGAAGACAGAAAGAGGAACATAATACAGTGCAAACTGCATATATATGTAATTCTAAAACAGTATGGTCAATCAATAAGACCACAGCGGCACAAAACAGACGAACACAGAAACTGAAGTTTGTTGAAACCATATTGATTAGTTGTATTAAGCCTATCCTCCTAGTGAAGAAACATCTGAGACCGACCAGTAAAACGGATTATGTAAATTTTACAAGACGAATTGTTTCATATGTGCAGATCGATGTGCTTTTCCCGGTTCCCTAAGTGAACCTGGTGCACGTGCATTGATTCCGATTACCAGATTAGGCAAAAACACTCTAGATCACTGTCTATTAGGTTGGCACTGGATTAGCGGCTTGCTGCTGTTCCTATCCTACAACATCCATCACACAGTAGACTTCAGGCAACCCTCACTGTTACTATGTATTATCTGTGGTCTGTTCTCTTTTTGATCTCAATGCACAACTTTGCTGAGCTGTGTGTAGTGTTAGGCTTTTTAGACCCATGGTTTTTGAGTTCACTATAGCAACTCGGGCGTACTAACACATATGGGCCATGTTGAGTGGTCTACTGACCCACAGGTCAGAGTACATGACATGAAAGTGAGAAGCGCAACCAAACCACCACAAATCCTCGGTCTGATGGACAAGTACGTGTATTTCGGCCCACTTGGCATTACAGACAACCGCAATTCTTTGAAGTTTACCCTTAATCTTCGTACACAACCACCTTATTGTCAGACACCAGCGATTGGATCCTAAATTCCTGTGCACTCGTCTCGATACTGCTACTACTACCGGAAGAGGGTTCTACCGGTCGGCTACAGAGTGTGGGATTCCCGTCTGCGTGATAACCTTGTTAAATGGATATCTCCCCTAGTTCCACAAGTACCACACTGACAGGTTACCCACGTATTTAGAGCACCACAGGTTTCATGATCAGTACGCGGGGTTGAGTTTTTCCTTAGTTCACCAAAGTAATGCACTAGAGACATGCTCATTAGACAACTTATTGAGAGGGGTCCCCGTAGAATTGCAGTCAGAACGTCTTCGACCCTTCTTTTTCTTAGAGCTTGCTACTAAAATCGTACATTCTGTGATTGCTTTCCAGTGAGCAGCCCAACAAGACGGTCGTCCGCTTGTGACGAATGGCAGATAGACCAAAATAGCTAGTCACCGGATTCATGCATCATACAAAGTCTGAGACAGGGTGATGAGTAACTAGCTTGTAGAATTTTCCGACATAAATGATTAGCCAATTCTCCAGCAGTGCACGTCAAGCTGAGATGCGAAACGGATGTTACTGGAAACTGTCCTAAGGCCGGCGCTTTACACGACCGATTGGTCCTGAGCAAATAGAATAAAACCAAAACAACGGCAACAGTGACAATAGTGGTTCTTGGCATTTCCTTTCGAATTGATGATTATTATCCCCTGGTTATGAAAATCCATATGCATTGCCGCTGAACTTCAATATCTGTTCACATTCAGCTCTACTTGTGTAGTATAAGAACAGACCGCAAATCCAGACCTCCAATATGGTTATTCATCATTTCATTTTTGACGCATCCACCAGGCTCGGCAAACCAATCAACAGCCAGCTGATCAACAATCAATAACCAAGCTCTGTTGTTGTTGTACTTAGGTGAATCTTTTGCATCTACTCTCACATATAATGTGAACTTGTCAGAAAAGACTTTTGTCTCTCATTATACAGTACCCCCGAGAAGGATGTCTTTGAGGGGGATCAACCACCTTGGGGAATGTACATCTGAGTTAGCCGTCAGACAACCTCGTATGCAATTTACTTTCCCGAAGGGGAAGGGCATCCAGATACAGCTTTATCATACGTTGCATCTGTGTAAAGTGTTCCGAAAAATGCCACTGTGTGTGTATGTGTCAGGCGAACTCAGAATAAGTAAAGTCATCACAAGACCTATAGGGGTGCCAGATAGTGCTAATGACATCAGAATTTCAGCTAAACTGTCCTAAGTAAATCCGTATGGATAGCGAAGGGAATTGCGATTGCTCTCTAGCCTCTTCAAGAGGATAAAAACCGTTTCGGGAACCGGAAATACTGTCGCCTCTGCTTCTGACAGGTCTTCCCAACAGGTAGATATTACAGTAAGAAAGGTTCCTTGTCATGAACATTTCTCTCCTGACGGGTGTGTTTTCTTCTGTGATGGTCTTTCGTGGAGGGGGTGTCACATACCGGAGACGGTACGCATCCTGGTAGTTTTGTCCGTCAGTATCTGCATCTATAAATCTTCGCTTTCCTACCTACTCCTTTGTTCCAGCTATGTTGAAAAACGTGCTGAGACTCATCGGTAAGCTGATCTTGATTTCTTTGAATGACGTTCTTCTTCCGTCAGATATCAATATATTCCGTCACGCCTTTGTTACGAACTGCTGGAATTTACTGATAAGGCCTTGTCAATTCATTGTTTCCAACTACACCGGTGACCCGTATTTTCACTCGTTCTTGTCCACCTAGATCTACGGATGATGTATTCATTTTCCCATAAAGCACTGCTTTTCAGATCAAGTAGATTTAAATGGAGTCCGCATTTCTCTCTCCAGTCTCCATGCGTTTTAATTTGCGTCGCATCAGTGCGACGTAGTATTCAGTTCAATGATTGAACTTCGTTCAGACTCCTTTTATTGACATGAGAAGTTCTTATGAGGTTTATCTTTGTAATGTACTACTCATAAGGTTGCTAAAAATCCGTCGACGGATTTATTCGACTGGTTTTAATTTCGCGGTTTTCTTACAAAACTGTGCGTTGTCATGGTCCGTTGTCATGGTGTGAATATTCACGGAACTGGGTTGTGAACCTGAAGGCCAGGTGGATCACATGTGCACAAAGCCACAAGATAACGATGAGGAGGATTGTAGCAAGTACACAACGTGGATTGAGGCCAAAACCAGTTGACCAGTCATTTAACTTTACCTGTAAGAAATGCTGTTATTATCGATGGGTTGGCATACGTTTGAGGATGAAACCTCAGGAAACCCGCGCAAAATGGATAATGCCATGTGCGATTTGAGCTGAAATTTAGGCGCATCCACCTGAACGCTCTTTTTTGGTGTAAACCTGAGGGAATGAGATCAGGTGATAAATGGAAGAGGACAGTCCTAAAGTCATCCACATGCTCGACTGAGAGGGTATGGATGAAAAGTGGAGCCGGACACCATATGCAAGAGGTCCTCTGGTAGCCCACAGCATCCAAGCGAGACATCCTGGGCATACAACACGGCTAGCTAGTGCTTTTTATCACTGAGCTAGGCCTGTTCAACGACGGCAACGGAGAACCACATCTAACACTGGTTTAGGCCTAAAACTCGGTGAGGTTGAGAGTGTTAGTGCACGAAATACGCATGAATAGGATAAAGTGCAATGCACGAAAACACATACCAGAACAATACAGTACAATATAACACAACGTATACTAAGTGAGTCCGAGGCAGCAGTGGAAACAACGGAAACTCTGGGTACCCAAAACGGAGCCTGTCGGTCGCGAACCGCTTACAATCTCTTGCTTTAGGGTGATGTGTGGAAACGTTCGTCTGAGAGATGCGCTACTTAAGTGCACTTATGGCTAGGTAACTTAGCCATTATTTAGCCTGCATTGTGCAACGATTGTCACAGGCCACTAAATCGGGAATTCACAGATGGCAACACTCTGGCAGTTGAATCTAATGGTGCTCGGTCGGACAGACTACGGATAAACCGAACTCACAATATATCTGAATGGTGTTTTGCAGTTAGCCGTGATTTGACTTTGTTTTGTTCACACGATGATCTTTAGTGAAAGTCACTTCCTACGATGTCACGCGACTTCGGTTGTAAAATTGTTAGATATCGTCCTATCTCCCTTTTCGCCTATGTGAAGTCTAAGCAAATGGTGATCACCGTGCCGATGGACAGGTTCAATTTTCTCATAAACTAGTCGACATGATCACTGATGCCGAGGCATCACTCGATCCTCATCGGATTACACGTACAAGCCCACAATCATCATGTGCCTTCAGTTAGAACTTATGTGTACCTGTTTTTCCTTCCGACTTTGTCAGACAACCTCGCCGGTACGCTATCTTGGCCACCTATGCAACTTGTTTGCAGCAGCATATGGTCCATGAGCAGGCCACAGTTTTCAGCAGGTACAACCAAGCGAGTGAATATGAATACCAGTTCGTCGGTCGGGTGAGAAAATTGTATTTAAGCCAGTTACAACCGCTACTTGAAGCGGAAAGTGGTTGTTGCACAGAAATATAACACACGCATGGCTACTACGGGATTACGTGCACTAAATCATGGAATCTCTTTCTGAATAAGTTGTCCTGATTTTAATTGTGGATGATGGGGATGACGGTTTAACGAGGGATATACGTCATAGGTGATTAAAGGTGAAGGTACCGACATATAACGAATGACAGTATCAGGAAGAAATAGTGTATACACTAGCCATGCCCCATGGAACGTGTGGTAAGGAAATCCTGTTTGTCGCTTTTTCATGGCGGAGATGCTCTAAGTGAAGCGGGAGAGGGTAATCGATTGTTGTGAGTTATTGATGAATGACGGCACACTGGTTGTCTTGCGAGAAGACGAATCCCTCGCGATAAACTGGCAGGAAAGGGCTATCGATAGTGACAGTGCTCTGTACTTTGTAAATTCTCTGCTGCTTTGCAGAGTGTATTAAAGTGCGCGAAAACCAGAACTACACTTTTAGAAGGAATATCTCCATCTTTTGATCCAGTCCATTCTATCTCAGAAGCGAGACGCAAAATTTCACGTGTGTACAGATGTAACGTTTACAATGAGTTTGAACGTCAGAGCCAGTTGACTTTCGCAGCAGAGTGAAAAAAACAGCACAAGTAATCGGGGCAACACTAAGGAAATGTGAATTTTTTCTTAACCTGGTACGAGACGGTCACTGAAATTCCAAACTATGGGCGTTCAGTACTTTCAAGTCGCCCCGTGCCCAGCATTTTGCGCAGCCTTTGATAGGTCGGATACTGTGCCCAAGTGCTCATTTCCAATTACGTTACGGGTGACCAGTTTTCTCTTAGGATGGTATTCTTAACCACAAATCACTCGAACGATTTCGCCACTCGGCACCTAAACCGCCACTCGTTCAGATTTTAAAATGAACTCATGCAATGCGAAAACCACATACAATTTGTTGCTTGTGGTTATGGTTCATCCGACTAATCCAACTTGTTTTTATTTCCTTACCAGAAGTGGGACCAGAGATCTCCCAAAAAAGTTGGAAATTCAAACCTGACTGTTGATCACTATCAATAGGTTCTTCAATACTGGTGTCGTCAATAAGACAATTTACTGGTTGTTGTTTGACGTCAACCTAGAATTCGTCTTAGTTTCGACCAACTGCTGTCGCCACATGCATATTTAGACTTCGCTCTATGTGATTTGACATCGTTGCAGCTGATTGCATGATGTATATATATATATATATATATATTGCGTGTTGTATATATATATTCATGCTGTTCCAATCGAACGGATGAAGGGAACTCAGCAGTTCGTACTCGTCAGGTAGCATCTTCGACTCATGTCCCGATAAGTCCAGGTTTTCGTGCAAGGAGTGTGCATTGCATCCCATCTGCTCGGTGGTGACAGAAAAGTCTTTGTCATGGCGCAACACCGGTTGCAATAGTTGGTACACAAGCTTCGCGAATGATAATGTTATTTACACCCAGTTCTGGTTTGGATACAGTGTGGAAGTCGCTCTTTTGCCCGGTTCTCATCACGGAAGTCGCTCCTCTGTCCGATCCTCATCAGGTTTTTGTCCAAGTTCATCAACTCACCCGTGTTTCCGTCATATGTTCACTGAGCGTTTGGGAGAGTAAAATCAATACAAAACCTCGTCATCTTTTGTGACCCATCTGTCCTCGCATTGGGAGCCTGTGGACTGATGTGACCCCATTCCGCATGACCTGAAGTATTTTGTCTCACTCATGCATGTGATACACACGAACAGAAACACATCAGAATCGTTATTTGGACACCCGTCAATGCATGAGGTCTGCTCACTCGTGCCCAACCTACCAGTTCACCACATCACAGTGTGGTTTTCTATTCGCATCACCATTTTCTGAACAGTCCTCCACCTGAGCTGGTGCGATTATCGGTTTGTCCTTTCAAAAGGGAATAAACTGGAATGAAAAGGTACCGAAATGATTGAGCGAAACACAGTTGACTAATCAAGAAATTCTTGGAAGGGCTGATTCTACTGAATTGTGTGTTCGACAGTAGGGGAATGAGATCATGGTACCGGTCTTGTCTTGAAACGTCCGACTGAGAACTCCCTGCACTCGACTAATATTTCAGCATCACTGTGATTGATTAGCCGAAAGTGTGAAACTGTCATTAGTATATACGTTCTGATGCTGTGCTCAAAAGGAAGCCACAACGACATTTTCGAACCAAACTTGGCACTTCTATTCGATCAGTACCGAAAAGCAGTAGGATTCTTTCACTCGCAAACTTAATTTCATGCGCAGGTCGAGATCATTCCTTGTGTTCAGGTGCTCTCAAACACCATGGTTCGCGACTGTGAACACTAGCGACTTCTCACATCCTACAATGCTCATGCTAGTATCATTTCAAGTTTTTGCTTTGACAAGCAACACACGGCTAAGTGGATACACTCACTCACCGTCCACTCTGGTCTACTCAGCTATCGTTCTCCAACAGAAAGCTCGAGCTATGCACATGACTTCGAAGCAGACTATCAGCTTAAGCTGTCGCCCTGTCATACTGATTGGGCTTCAGTGCTGCAACAATTCTGCAGGCTACATTGGCTGGAGCGCAGTTCCTTAAGGTTCACTCGTCCCAGTAAGGCCAAGCATGAATAGCCCGACGGAGACCAGCGAGTCTCCTTACTGCGAGATATTGTAGTACGAGGCAGTCTGGAGGTCAAGTCCTGCTGTCCTTTACGGTAGGAGTATGAAGACATTAAGGTGTTTCTTCCAAGTGACCAGCATATTCATATTTCTCGGAGCACCGGTGCTCCCTTCACCTGAGGAAGCACGGGTTAGGAAAGGTCGACTCTAAAAACACGCTCCGACCAATACGACCGAAACTATTTCGAAACCGAACGGTCTCGTGCTATTCAGAAGCTACCTGTTGTGCACAATGTTATGCTCAAGGCCCTCACCCGCACCCCTTCTCCATCCATCAAATGATGCACTCCGGTCGATCCACCAACCAGCCCCCTAACCACTCTTCCTTGTTTGCAATATCGTCTAGCACAATTAGCGAAACAATCCCTTAATACGCTCCGAAGATCTGATCCAGGTTGTATTTTTCGATGTCCGTACTCTCTGTCCGCACTCTGTGATCCTTTGATCTGATTAGCAACCAGTTCATATTGTTGAAATACTCTACTTGGTTAGGATTCGCATGGACGTTGCTATTCTCTTGATATTGTTTTCATACTCAGTGTCCAGCGCAGCGCCTCCGCAACCGAATGGTTCGAATTCCTTGTAACTGTCTGTTTGTTCTATGCTTTCCAAGCGTCCTGTTGGCTTATTTCAGGCACCGATTGGAAATCCCTGTCTACTCCGGCTTTGTTGCCCATAGCGACAGACTATTTTCCGGATAACTCAAGTCTGAAGACTGAGGGCTATACACTGCACGATTATCGAGTCGTCCCAGTGGGAGTGAGCGCTCAAGAATGGGAATCCACGCATGAGTATGTTTCCGATCGTACTCACTCTTTTGTTCATCCCCTCACGTTTACCGTATCTCTCATATTTCTGTGTCCAATTTTAGTGCGCGTGATTTATTCAGCATGGCTTCTCTGCCTGCACTAGCACCGCATAATCTGCATTAAATAACCCCTTGTCTCTTTTGCGTCAGAGCGCTTGCTGAGTTCGAACGACTTTCTTGTGTGCATAGGCATGCCTCCGCATGTCGAAGCTTCTGTTTGGTTTCTTATCTGTTTACATGAGAAAAGAGGCACCATTCAGAAAATTTGTATTCCGCGCCCTTTTGAGGTCGCCCCTAGGGTGTGATTGACCAATGATTGATCGATAGGTTAAAAACCACGGCTACGGAAACCTAATGACTGGCAGTCCTCACTATTTCGAAGCAATTCACTGCCTTCCACAGTGAGCTAAAGACATCGAAATGCCACAACACGGTCGCATGCAGTGGATATCTTACGTGCAATTCATGCTGGGCGGCACCTTATTTCTGTGATTGCTATACCCAAATTCTACTAAGTGTGCTAATTCTTCCTTTCGTGCAACGTTTGACAATCTTTCTGTATTTCCTCCACCCAGTTTCAAGCGCGAACCTGGACTGAGTTACTGCCGCCGACCTATGACTGTTCGTGAAGTGTTCTATGAGATGGTACTTCAGCGTCTTGGTCATGTAAGTTTCGTCTTATATCCGGTTATCTTCATCTTTGGACAATCTTGTTCTTTCTGTCAAACAACATAACATCACTTCGAAGGAATACCTCTCAAATGGATTGAGTGCAGATATATAGACTGTGTTCCGCTCAAACCGATTGAATTACAAAGTGTTGATGAACCAGGCGTAGAGTGAATTTTTGGAAGCCTTTTCATGTTGCCCATGTTACTGGTGTTGTTCTCCGATCTGACTGATCACATCTACTGCGTGCTGGTGTTTTTTAATAGCCAATTGTGCCGAACAAAACAATGACTTGTGGAGGTCAGCTTGCGCTCTAATTGAACCTGACCGCAATTTTTACCGCCTAACGGGTCTGCCTACTTGTTTGTCCTTCAAATCATGGACGGTTGTTTTTAAGCCGTGTGTAACCTTACACACCTTATCGTTACACACAAGGTCGTTAGTTATACATGAAGGCACGTAGCCCTATGCAGTCAGTCATTCCCAGCACTCGTCCACATACCCGTCCATCCAAACTGCTGTTATTGGTTTTGTTTTGCTGTTTTATTTCGGCCATTCAATTGTGTGTGTGTGCACATTTTCAGATTAGCCTTCATGTTGAATTCTTTGTTCCGTGTATGTGTAGTCTCCAGATGGGTATTAATGTCTTCCCAACACCTGCTGCGCTTCTTCTAACCAGGTCGAAATGCTTTGGACTCCTGCTTGTTTTCCAAGGATTGTTTCCAGCCTGAACTATTTACATACGATCTTATCTCGGGTTGACAGAACACTAATTGTTTCCAGTTCTTTTGGGAATCGATGTCATCAGCGGGGCACAAATAGTCTCGGATATATTACTAATTCGGAGGAATCAGATTTGCGCATATTTGACGTACCTTACTTCATGAGTAGGTAGTTGGTGTGGCATCTAAAAGCACATCGATCAGTGACGAGAGCTCCCAACAATCCAAATCTTTTGTGACTATCCCGATAGGCAGCTGTCTGTGCTCCTAGCTGGGTACGCGCGTATCCACAGTTGACAAATTCATGAACAACCACGTTACACCGAGATGGTCGGGTTGGACAAATGGGATTTCCTGGCCTTATCGGGATACCCGCTTCAAGTGTTCTGGCGGGTCGGACAACTATGCGTTCCCGGTAGGCAGAAGATAGTTAATTGGTACTTCTGACTGATATCTTCCTATGTGTACTGGTGCAAGCCAATAAACTTTTATTGAACATAGTTCACTCTGACAATCGTGCATCAAAGCTATGGTCTTCAATGTGCAACTGTCCAGTTTCCCCGAACTAGTTGATCATGCCATCGTCTCCAGTGCTTAACTTATCTTCCCCGCACACTCCCATTTTCCGTTGACGGAAACCGTAGCGGCTGGAACGAACGTACTCTTAGTACATGGTTTATGGCTGGTGAATTGAACTGAGGTGCCTTCAGACATTTACGTGCGCGTGCTTTCTGTACAGTTGTTCAGGTTCTCCGTCATATGTGTGTCACACCCCCAGATTTCAACGAAACACTGGTATTCACAAACTTCGGAAGGGTTAGCAGTGTTTCGGGTAATATATTCAGAATTACTGCATACTACCAAGTGGCAGAATTTCAGCAGCACCTCAAGAAAGCCTATGCCAAACCAGCGACTACTATAATTCAAAAATGGACGTTGCGTATGACTAGGAAACGGTGCATAGGTCCGGGGGGACAATCTTCTCAAGAATATTTCCTGCCTCGCTACTTCGCTTTCACTCGCCCCGCTTAAACAGTGCTCCCTACACAACTACATCCTTTCGTGCCTACAAAGCTCGTTCATGGTACTTGTAAATGCTGTCCTTATTTGTTGGTTGCATTAAAGACTGGATCGCTACGTAACGTCAAACGAAGGTTTCTGGAATTTTATGATGGTTTAGAGGATGTCACAGTTCATCGTTAGATTGGGCTATGTATCGATGTTAATATGGTATTTCTCCAACTCATTGACCACTCGTGCTGACGGATATACACTAGGGCCACATAGTTATTGAGAGGTTGTCGTTAGCACGTCAGTGTTTTGGTGACCAGATATAAGTGTCGATATTAATAGAGATTACGTAAATGTGTTCACAAAATTCACAGCATATCCAATTATCGAACCATATGGTCGGAATCTGGCCAGCCGTGAAAGCGCATGCAGGTTAATTATTGCGGACCATAGGTAAAACACCTTTATGCACAGGCTATGCTAGATTACTAATAAAAGTGGCCTGAGGTTTTCCTATCCAAATCGATGTTGGGCTACTTCACATTGAAGACACTGCGGAAATGTTTCATCCTTTAGAGCATCCCGCTGGTTTTACTAACCGACGGGCGACATGGCTCAGTGGTTGGAGTACAAATTTACTAACCGGAAGACCCGTAGTTCGAATCCGACCTCCGCCTCTCGACTTCCCCTGTCTAGGCTTGGGCAACCTGGCATTATCCCAGCCATCTTGCTTCCTTCTGGTGGCATGGTAGTTGGGCATCGAAAGGGTGCTACAGCTAAACGATTATTTAGCTTTTACTAACCAACAGCGGCATCTTTGTTTTGTTGCGGTTGTATTCAACGAGATGCTGCCTTCTGAGAATGCCACCCACCAATTTGATCGGATGAAGATATTACATCATACTTTTTACTTTTCAGTAAACACCTCCATGTGGGCCCCTCAAACTAACTAATTCTTCCTTTCGTGCAACGTTTGACAATCTTTCTGTATTTCCTCCACCCAGTTTCAAGCGCGAACCTGGACTGAGTTACTGCCGCCGACCTATGACTGTTCGTGAAGTGTTCTATGAGATGGTACTTCAGCGTCTTGGTCATGTAAGTTTCGTCTTATATCCGGTTATCTTCATCTTTGGACAATCTTGTTCTTTCTGTCAAACAACATAACATCACTTCGAAGGAATACCTCTCAAATGGATTGAGTGCAGATATATAGACTGTGTTCCGCTCAAACCGATTGAATTACAAAGTGTTGATGAACCAGGCGTAGAGTGAATTTTTGGAAGCCTTTTCATGTTGCCCATGTTACTGGTGTTGTTCTCCGATCTGACTGATCACATCTACTGCGTGCTGGTGTTTTTTAATAGCCAATTGTGCCGAACAAAACAATGACTTGTGGAGGTCAGCTTGCGCTCTAATTGAACCTGACCGCAATTTTTACCGCCTAACGGGTCTGCCTACTTGTTTGTCCTTCAAATCATGGACGGTTGTTTTTAAGCCGTGTGTAACCTTACACACCTTATCGTTACACACAAGGTCGTTAGTTATACATGAAGGCACGTAGCCCTATGCAGTCAGTCATTCCCAGCACTCGTCCACATACCCGTCCATCCAAACTGCTGTTATTGGTTTTGTTTTGCTGTTTTATTTCGGCCATTCAATTGTGTGTGTGTGCACATTTTCAGATTAGCCTTCATGTTGAATTCTTTGTTCCGTGTATGTGTAGTCTCCAGATGGGTATTAATGTCTTCCCAACACCTGCTGCGCTTCTTCTAACCAGGTCGAAATGCTTTGGACTCCGCCTTGTTTTCCAAGGATTGTTTCCAGCCTGAACTATTTACATACGATCTTATCTCGGGTTGACAGAACACTAATTGTTTCCGTTCTTTTGGGGAATCGATGTCATCAGCGGGGCACAAATAGTCTCGGATATATTACTAATTCGGAGGAATCAGATTTGCGCATATTTGACGTACCTTACTTCATGAGTAGGTAGTTGGTGTGGCATCTAAAAGCACATCGATCAGTGACGAGAGCTCCCAACAATCCAAATCTTTTGTGACTATCCCGATAGGCAGCTGTCTGTGCTCCTAGCTGGGTACGCGCGTATCCACAGTTGACAAATTCATGAACAACCACGTTACACCGAGATGGTCGGGTTGGACAAATGGGATTTCCTGGCCTTATCGGGATACCCGCTTCAAGTGTTCTGGCGGGTCGGACAACTATGCGTTCCCGGTAGGCAGAAGATAGTTAATTGGTACTTCTGACTGATATCTTCCTATGTGTACTGGTGCAAGCCAATAAACTTTTATTGAACATAGTTCACTCTGACAATCTTTAGCTTAATAAGCTTCAGGCAGTAAAAATCGTCCTTTGCTTCTCATTGAAAACGTGATAGTTGGATTTCTTTTTCGTGTTTTACCGTTGTGTTGTATTTTGAATTGATTTTTTTGTTCTGCTGTACTAACTATGGTTACAAGATTTTCTCGGAAACTGGAATTAGTGAATTCATTTTTCTTTGCAAAGTATCGACATGCCAGAGGCAGCTGACCTTACGAGCTATTTACTGCACGTGTGTCGAAATTGTCTATTCCTTTTTTGCATCTTTCAGCACCAGGACAATTCTTAAACTAAGATTAATGTCTCAGTGGATTAAATGATTAAGTGAACTTCCTCACAACACTTAAATCACAGCAGTTCCAGATTCGTGCTTGAACTGCAATTAGATGTTCCTTCTTACAACTATTTAGGTGTACTGAAGATTCGGAGACTCAGTAGAGTTATCCTTCCCTTTGTCACGCCAAATAGACACAGCCGATCAAGCCTTTTTCATCTACTAAACCTAGATTCCTGTCCATTTTTCGTATAATCCTCTTCATATATTGCCCAGGGGTTCAACCAAATACGCTGGACGAGTTCTCGGACAATTCTTCTCTCTTTTTTTCGCGTTCGGTATCTTTGATAGCCTTGTTATCATAGCAGGTGACCTAGATAGAATCAGTGCCAAGCCAGTTCTCTCGGGTCTCGATGATATACCTGGGCAGCCAACCAGCATTAAGATCCAGTTTTATCACATAACTACAAACTCTCTTGATTTGTATTACCGGAAACAATCTGCGCATCTCTGAATACACGGTCACTCCTGTGTTCGTGCTCTAAGAGTCATGTCATAGTTCTGCTATAGCTTCCACACATGAATTCATCTATGAACACCGTCTCATTCTCCATAGCGAACTTTTGTGATGCTTTCAGTTTATGTAGCCAATTTTCCCCTGGCAAAGTTATGCTTTTCGCAACATACTGATTGGCTCGATTTGTTTCAAACGATTTTGAAGCCAGAAGATGCATGCTTACGAATGTGGAAAGCGCACTGCAGGAAATAAATAAAGCCGCTTATTCTTTCGACCAGACTGATGATCTGAGGCTCATCAGAAGATGTGTTGTGAGAGAATTCTCAATACATGGAATCGGTTAAACTTATTGCTTCTAACTGGTTCCACAGAATCCTCAAGGTTCTTTTACTGGTTCCTCATGCAAATAACATTCGCTGTTTCGAGGGTAGTTTGTACACTTGCTCCAATCCTGGCGGGTGAAAATTTCTCCCGACATGGCATATTTCCTTGTCTGCTCAACTACTCTACCGTTGATTCAAGTTAGCCTGCACTAGATATCAATAATTGTTTTTCCAGATTTCCTGTGCCTGAGTTGCGAAGGCCCGTTTTCATTGAGACCATTCGCAAAGCGACCGGAAAGTATCGCCACATTCCCTCTTTTTGGTAACGGATGGCACGTGATGTTTCCGTTCATCTTCCTCAGCCCTCTTTGCCTACAAGCCAAGTCCTAGTGCATATGATACTGTCGATTCCTTTGACAATTTCATTGCTTTTTTTCTGGACAAATTCGACTCTGTAGTTGGATGCATTTTTCTTGACTTCTCTTCGGGGTTCCTCACATTGGACAGCCAGTTACTTCTTCATAAGCATTGTCCTGCTAGGTCCACGTCTTCCTTGTTTAGTTGGTTGGCTGATTATTGCTCCTCTGGGTTCCATCACACAAAGTTGGTCTCTGTCTCTTCTTGACGAAACTGTTATTCTTTGGAGCAGTTCATCCAGCTGAGATTTTCAACGTACTGATGACGTTAATCACTCTGTAACCTCTTTGTCCGGTTAACTTTCTCCTTGTCTCAAAGCAAACTTACAGTTTAACCTTTCTGCTTAAACACGAAGATTTCACTTCGCTTTTTCGTCGCTTCTCGTATCAAGGATTGTGAAGACTATGTCTGTGTGCTTATGTATACTCACTAACTCTAATGGCTTTAAATACCTAGGAATGTTTTTTCTTCCAACCTAATTTGAACTAGTCGTCTTCAAGCGATTCTGTCAAAGCTCAGAGGAATGTTTTTATGAAGCTACAGCACCCTAGTTGACCCCACGGTTTCATGCACAGTTCGGTGCAATTTTTTTCCTGCGTCATTTCTGTACTGCTCTCTTATCCTTTCCTTTCACTCAAGCGAGGTTTCCGGACGACTGTTGTTTCGAATTCCATCTCCCTGCTTACTTTCCCGTTGCCTTCTTCTTTACCTATTCACAATTTTCGTCTCATCTTCTCCATTGAGATCCATCATCAACAAGGTATTGCTTCAAAGATCACCGTTGGCATCTCTGAGGCATTGGCCATGTCTGATGGGAATATCGGGTTAACAATGTTGAGGAGCGCAACATGGTTTTGGGGGAAAGCAACTTCATCGCGATTGGTTAGTTACTCATGGCTCATAGGTTATGCGGGTTAGGACATGTACGCCGCGTGATAAATGACCGTCCACCTCGCAAAGCTCTTTTTGCCGAGTCCTGGACTGAGTGGAAAGCACCGAGAGATGTATGACCTGGCAACGTAGTATGAACGCGCTAACCAGTACACTCAGTTGGGTTGAAAACTGCCTCCTCACTAGGTGCAGACACCGAGACTCAACTCACAAATTGTTGGCGATACTAGCACACGTGGCTCAATAAGACAGTCAGCGACGCTCGTGCATCAAAGCTATGGTCTTCAATGTGCAACTGTCCAGTTTCCCCGAACTAGTTGATCATGCCATCGTCTCCAGTGCTTAACTTATCTTCCCCGCACACTCCCATTTTCCGTTGACGGAAACCGTAGCGGCTGGAACGAACGTACTCTTAGTACATGGTTTATGGCTGGTGAATTGAACTGAGGTGCCTTCAGACATTTACGTGCGCGTGCTTTCTGTACAGTTGTTCAGGTTCTCCGTCATATGTGTGTCACACCCCCAGATTTCAACGAAACACTGGTATTCACAAACTTCGGAAGGGTTAGCAGTGTTTCGGGTAATATATTCAGAATTACTGCATACTACCAAGTGGCAGAATTTCAGCAGCACCTCAAGAAAGCCTATGCCAAACCAGCGACTACTATAATTCAAAAATGGACGTTGCGTATGACTAGGAAACGGTGCATAGGTCCGGGGGGACAATCTTCTCAAGAATATTTCCTGCCTCGCTACTTCGCTTTCACTCGCCCCGCTTAAACAGTGCTCCCTACACAACTACATCCTTTCGTGCCTACAAAGCTCGTTCATGGTACTTGTAAATGCTGTCCTTATTTGTTGGTTGCATTAAAGACTGGATCGCTACGTAACGTCAAACGAAGGTTTCTGGAATTTTATGATGGTTTAGAGGATGTCACAGTTCATCGTTAGATTGGGCTATGTATCGATGTTAATATGGTATTTCTCCAACTCATTGACCACTCGTGCTGACGGATATACACTAGGGCCACATAGTTATTGAGAGGTTGTCGTTAGCACGTCAGTGTTTTGGTGACCAGATATAAGTGTCGATATTAATAGAGATTACGTAAATGTGTTCACAAAATTCACAGCATATCCAATTATCGAACCATATGGTCGGAATCTGGCCAGCCGTGAAAGCGCATGCAGGTTAATTATTGCGGACCATAGGTAAAACACCTTTATGCACAGGCTATGCTAGATTACTAATAAAAGTGGCCTGAGGTTTTCCTATCCAAATCGATGTTGGGCTACTTCACATTGAAGACACTGCGGAAATGTTTCATCCTTTAGAGCATCCCGCTGGTTTTACTAACCGACGGGCGACATGGCTCAGTGGTTGGAGTACAAATTTACTAACCGGAAGACCCGTAGTTCGAATCCGACCTCCGCCTCTCGACTTCCCCTGTCTAGGCTTGGGCAACCTGGCATTATCCCAGCCATCTTGCTTCCTTCTGGTGGCATGGTAGTTGGGCATCGAAAGGGTGCTACAGCTAAACGATTATTTAGCTTTTACTAACCAACAGCGGCATCTTTGTTTTGTTGCGGTTGTATTCAACGAGATGCTGCCTTCTGAGAATGCCACCCACCAATTTGATCGGATGAAGATATTACATCATACTTTTTACTTTTCAGTAAACACCTCCATGTGGGCCCCTCAAACTAACCCTCTTCTTCATCTTGAATGACCGATCTGTTTCATTCTCATAGTTTTCTATCGGTTCATCGTACTACTTCTCGCCATCTGCTGATAGTTTTCAATAGTTGATAATTGGTTCTTCGACATATGTAAACTACCTGGGACCATTCCACTGTGCATTTGGTGCTTCATTGCTTTCCTTGGTTCCATCCGGATTGACTGTTAATGTTTGGTAGGATGGTTTCGTTCTTCCGGGATTCAGACTAAATGGAAAACGAAGCTAATAATAATTCTTCTTTGATCACACTATTGTGGTGCCTCCAATTATGGACTGGTCACCGTATAGCTGGCCGACCAGTTGGTGAAATTTGACTTCTATTTACGTTTGCACTTGGACTTCGATTATACTCGGCAGTGTTCGAGTTTATAATCAGGTGCTGTGCTACACGCAAGAGAGTATACCACTAATGGCTGCTGAAAACGATAGAGCTCTGAAATTTGTCATCTTGTTTGCAACCAGGTAATATCATATTATGTGTGGTCCTTTTCGAGGCGACTTCTAGTCCCTGCTGTGTCTTCCAGGGATTTCAGATTTATGAGGAAAGTCTGGCCCCTTCAGCTCCTCCGGTTTCATCAACCGTGGGATCACCCGGATCCCCTTTGTCTGGTACTGTGACTGGAGTGAGTCCACCCAGTCTGTTGCGTTCGTCTGCATCTAAACCAGCCACTACTCGATGTGAACAATTGTCCAATCGGAGCATATCGGGATCTAGCTCTTTATCTCGGAAACATGGAGTATCGTTAGGTCAGGGACGTTTGGCTAACAGACACCGCAATGCGCCCGAAGCACCTTCAATAGGCGTATCGCCGCCGACTACTCAACCTACGCAAACGTGCACCACAATCGCAGTGCGAACTCTGGGCATCGGACTCACCCTTTCTTCTACTGGGTCATCTGTCCGAGCATCATCCAAACACTTGGCAAGACCTGGACGTGCTGGCTGCCGCACTCCCTTCTTAACGCAACCATTGTTGGATAAACTGATGCCGGCACATAAAGTGAGTGGTACAACATGTTTCCCAACCTTTTGGCGTTCTCTGTCCCTGCATAAAGTCAACCACATGTGTTAATGTTTTACACAATTGGATTCTATCGTTGTCATTTCAACATTTCCAAATAAAATTCACTAAAACTTTCACCGAGTTAAGTGTGTTTAACTCGGTTTAGTCATTATCTATTGCTTTGTTCTATTCTTTCAATAGTATGATATTAATTTCATGGCTACGGGTATAGCCCCGGATAAATAGGAAACCCGGTTTTCGCTGTTCATATCATACCATTTGTACAGGTAATAGATTTTTATGTGATCGTTTATGAATCCAATGATTCTGGTTTAGAACGTTCTGATGGCAGTCGTACCACCCACAAATTAGTACTAATGTTACTGGTTCAATTTGTTCGTCCCTTCCATATTTTTATGCTCTCTTTGTTCGAAATTCCGCCAATTTTGTTTTCTGGGTCTGTGTGTAAATGGTCTCTGATTACACAACACACTGTTAATTACCGATGTGGATATAAACAAGGGGACCATCTCAGCAATGGCTTGTCAAATGTGCCTCAGGCTCGTGGTGCTTACTTGCTATTGTATTTTCTATGCTATCGCTCTTTTGCATTCCTACGACTACTATCCTTACGCTTTACGATCATTGTTGTGTATGCTTTTTTATCTTTCTAGTTTACTCGTCTAACTTAGCTCAATCTCTAAAAAAGCGCAAATTAGTACCTCTACACAGTGAACGTCTTGTTCCCGTTACAATCCTTCTATAGTATGACTACTCTCACGTTTCTTGTAGTAACTTCTTAGGGCGATTTGTCCCACGTCATCGGCTACACCGTTTCTCCGCCAAAGATAAGGACTCATTTTTTATCATAGGTACACCTCACTGAAGTGGCATTTTTCAGTTGTCTCATCAGCTAACGGTGAATGTTTACCTTAGTTGGAGCCCCATACAAGCTTTAATCATAAATTAGGTAACAACGACGGAGGAGCTCTTGAACTGACTTCTCTCATGGTGGATCTTTCGAAAATAATTCCTCTCCATTGGCATTCCTCCACAACTCATTAGCTTATGTGTCGGCTCTTCAAGCCTCATAGGCGTTTTTCTGTCGGTTTTAAAATTGGCGATTTAAGCAGTCGCATTTACAAATCCACTGTACGCATGACCCTTCAATGTCCCTGATACCTACCCCTTCCTTTCGCTATTCACTGGATCCATTTCAGTGAGTCTAAAGGTTTATGTTCTCCAGGAATGCTTCCCACCACCTATCGTTACCTAACTCACTGAACCGGCACAAAAAAGAATTTATGACTGAATGTTCCGTAGCTTTTCGTTTTCGTTGTCTTCACATTGGAATAACTTTTTTTATCATTACCTAGTTTTGATGGAGATTTTTTGCTTGGATGACCGCCTGTAACTGGTCCTAGGAAAAATCCTCAATATCAATGGCAGGTTGTCGGGGCTGATCGAGTTGGGTGTGATGCATTGTCTTACCAGCTGTTAACTAATTGGATAGCTGGATAAGGTAGTGCTCCATTTTAATACTCTTCCATCCGCGTGAAACTATAACAGTTGTCAAGCTGGAGATTTTTGCCAGATGTTAATGGGAGTAATGCCTCTAGATCCCGAAAAGCCCAGCTACACATGAGCGATTCCTCTCTTCCTAATTGCATTCTGCCGTTCCTAATCGCAGTGGGCTTTGTCCTTACGGACCTGCATCTTATCGCTTCTGTTGGCTTACTGCATGTCGGTCTGACCTGATGCTACTGGTTAAAATGGAACAGGACATCACGATTCGACTACCTTGTGCGTCTGCTCCATTGTCTAGGGGTTATGTGAATCACTCCCATTAAGTCAAGCCGTGTGCGCGAATTGTCACGCTTTCGTCGTTCGCTCACCCCATTGGATGGTCTGCTAGGTCGCACAAGCTTCATCCGATTGGTTCACGGAGCTGTCTTGCTTTGACTTCTCATTGGTTTCATTCTGCACCTGCCAGGCTGCCACCCACAACACCGGCGGGAACGCCACATACATACGCGCGCCACATCGGCAACTTGATGTGATCGGACAATTGTGTGCCCCGGACACAGTCCTTATGAGATGTCAATAATGCCTTATTTTCGCTGTTTTGCAGCTCCGGTGTTACTGTTATTCACTATCCATAGCGATTTTTCTGCCTCAGTGTCGCATCCTAATTGCTTGCTCGGATGTAGCTGCTCCAATGATAACGGCGCTGCAGTTTGTTGTCTTCTTCCAGCAGATGGAACACCCGAGCCTATGCGTTTTCAGGCTGATTTGTGTTACGTGAATGAATCAACAGACTTGAACACACGATGGCCCAGTATCAACTCGTGTTTGCCATCTTGGCGTCAGTTGCAAGTGCGCTTGACCCGCGCGTCTTGGCCAAACATTCGTCCAGTGGCATCACATCCTTCCAGCTCTTGCACGGAACGCCTCGAACGCCTTGTGCTTGTTGGAACCTCTGCGAGTGATGATGGTCTTTTTAACCTTCAGTCTGTGACACTGAGGAATTTGTTCTTCCAGAAGTTGGGTGTACTCCAGCTGGAACGTCTGACGGTTCATCAAACGCAGTTGCGGAAAATCGAGGATGGTTTCATCGACCAATTACGAGCAGTTCGTTTACGCGATGTGGAAATTAGTCGGAATCCTAATCTAACTAGTGTTGGTTTGGGTGTCGGTTGGCTTGCCTATGCACCGCACCTTCGTCTGTTGGATCTGAGTCGTAATAAATTGACTGTTGTGGAGTTGGCCAAATGGGGTTTCCCGCCGGAAGGTAATACCGCCTTAGCTACATTGCTTCTATCCGGAAATCAGATTGCATATCTCAAGCCAAAGACTTTTGAACGTGCCTCCAATCTAATTAAGCTGGATCTATCAGACAATCTTCTGAGCTCAGTGTCACTCGATGTGTTTAGCGGCTTGGAAAGTTTGAAAATCCTCAATCTACGGGGAAATCGACTGACTTTACCGGGTCTCAACCTTGGGTCAGTAACTTTGCTCAATACATTGCCAAATCTTGTTCACCTTCAGCTATCCGCCAATCCATTGCTTACGACAAACTCAACCTTCCCACACTGGTGGTTGACTGGGCCTTGCCCAAGACAGTTGACAAAAATCAGTTTGGATGAGTTAACCTCTGGACAGCCTGTTTTACCCGATAAGCTTCTAACTCTTCCACCGATATCTTGGGATCAGTGCCCTTCTCTGACTGAGTTGGCTTTACCCAGACTTCCAATGATCCCCTGTCTTCCTCAATCATGGTTGGGATTAGCACCGGAAGTTCAAACAATCCCGGAGCGGTTTCGCATCCGACCAGCCTCGCTTCAGCTCTGTCCACCCTCAACTGCTCTTCCAGAGGCGATTGCTTCTGTGCAGCGCTCACAACCCTCTTCCCCACTCACTCCTTATCCCTTATCTGCGGGTGCAGTAATTTTCATTGAACCCACTACCCTTTCATCTATGCATGGTGGAAATGGTAAGACACATTCGGAACCATGGTCCGAGGATGCAGATACTGTCCATTACAGTCGGACACTTCACATTCTACGGTTACGTGGCGCTGGGATTAGTCCGTGGATTTTGTTCGTGGTATTGTTCGTACTGTTCTTCGCGGTGGTGTCGCTCGTAATCTGGGGCATTTTTTATTGTGTTCGGAACTATCGTGGTCGTCGTAGTAAGCACAATCAGAAACGAAGCAATCATGCAAGCGTACCTGATGCACACAATGGCATCTGCTCCAGGTTCGCCAGTGTGACGGCTTATCCTGATCAGTTCCTTACATTTGCCCCTCCTCTCCTCTGCTCAAAACCGACCTACTCACCGTTGAACTTATCAGTCAATGGAGATTGTCTGGAATATCCATGTTCCCCACGTCACCAGACACCCGCTGGTGTGCGGCTTCTTAGTCCCACAGACAGCGGAATGGGCGATATAACCCCCATAACCTTCCAGCATTCAATTCATAACGGGCCGAGTCCGTCACCCAGTCATGCTTCGTTTCAGTTGTCGCGAAATGTTCACACACCTTTGGCTTGTAATCCAATGCGCTTTCACGTGTCTTCCCTCACTTCGTTGCGATCTGCTCCGCACCCCGCACGAGCTGTTCAACCCAGTTACGCAATGTGTAGTTCGTTTCTGGCAACACCACAAAAGCTAGCCAATGCGGCTACCTCGACGGAAAACATGTCACTAGGACGCGATTCCTCCATTTTTGATGATCCCACCGAGGAATGTGCCGCATTTAGCGTTCGAGCTGTATCACAATACGAAAAGCGTGGTCTATTGCCTGGTCACTCCTGATAGAACAGCTCGAATGCGAGGTATGCTTCCTTCTATCCCTGTTGCTTTTATTGTGAATACCTTGACTTTAGCTGGGATCTGTTGATTAATCCCGTCTTCTTTCATCCCACAAACCGCAGTTATGTCCTTCTGTCTATCACCGATGGACCAGAATGTATATAAATTTTTTCATCATTTGCAGATTGACCTATTTCCTCCATTCGGTATTGGTTTTGTCGCACTAGGTGGTCCAGTTATTCTTGCTCTCGAATAACTATTAGTGTTAGGAAGGTTCGATTGATGAATTTGCCCTGTCTACCGTGGGTGCTATGCCCTTTTCGAATGGCCTCAATCGCCCCTAAGATTCTACGAGCGTCGCTGGTAATGCTTTGAAGAAAACTGGACAGGACTAAGTAGACCGATTATTTCATTTAAAAAAGAGGCATACTGGAATCCAAACGAAAAATGTTAATTTTGAGGGACGTGTATTGCAAATGCACGAATTTTATTCTGTTTCTCACATTGGTGATGTATTACTTGTCAAAAGTGCGCCAGTTTCAGGTAGCAGATGGCCAGAGTTCAAATCCAGATTGGGACTTGTATACACTATGATAGTCCTATTCATTGCTTTTCGATCCCGGGTAGCCGTTGAGGGACTTTTCTAAACAGTGCGAAATGACTGTTGTAGCATCACCAGTGAC